CACCGCGTCTGCCTGGCTGATCAGTGCCCCTCTGCACCGCATCTGCCCTGGCTGATCAGTGCCCCTCTGCACCACATCTGCCCTGGCTGATCAGCCCCCAAGGGGAATGACTTGTTTGTCTTACCATCTCAATAGAAGGAATAAACAACATCTATTAAACAGTGCCTTTTGATGGAAAACTGCCAAGGCTGAAAACACTTAATGTCTATCCACTGCCGTGGCCATGATAACTACTGGTGACCCTGAACTCAGAAGGAGGAAATAAACAACATCTATTAAACAGTGCCTTTTGATGGAAGAAAACTGCCGAGGCTGAAAACACTTAACGTCTATCCACTGCCGTGGCCATGATAACTACTGGTGACCCTGAACTCAGAAGAGAAATTGCTTTGAAATAGCATAATCATATTTTAAAATTTCCCTGCATCTAGGTTCTTTTCTAGAATACTCTAATTTTCACTTTTCAATTAATCACCCCTGTTTACCTCTCTATTAAATATTGATTTGATCTTTGAGGCTTGCTGTACATCTTATGAATAAGAGATAAAAATTTGAGATCAACCATTCACACACACACACACACACACATAACTTTTTATGTATAGATGTGATGATGAATCTTGGTTGCCAACTTGACTGGATCTGGGATCAAGAGGAGAGCCTCTGGATAGCTTAGTGAGGGTGTTTTCTGAAGAATTAACTGAAATGGAAGATCAGCCTCTGGAGAGGGCAGAACCTTCTAGTGGCAGTGCCAATACAGAGGTCAAAGGGAAAAATGCCTGCCTACTCAGAGAGGGTGAGTGCATCAACCTTGCTGTCTCTGCGCTGTCATGCTCCACTGACGCTGGAACCCAGTGTTCCCCCAACTGAAGTCCTTTGTGACTTCTGAAGGGAGCAAAGACCTGCAGATCTCAAGAAATCCTCCAGGTTTTCAGCCCCAGATTGGGACTGCTAAAGGATCCAGCCTCATGGTCTGAGCAGCTGCTGTGTTCTTGGCCTCTCCAGCATGCAGTGCCAACACTTGGATTATGCATCCTGAGTTACACAAGCCAATCTGATAACCTCCCCTTTGCAGTATCTATTCATTCCCTGAGATATGTTCCTCTAGAGATCCCTAACTAATGCAATAGGTATTTATATTTATATAAATACTATCTAAAATCAACTAGGAATATGTGTGTGCTGTGTCTTGCTAAGAATACTGAAATTAGTAATCTGCTAGAGTACTGTGAAAACCAGTGAGATTTCCCAGAGTCCCTGTCACATGAGAACACATGTGGCTACTGGGTGCATTCTGCTGTTTTTGTTGCATAACCAGCTACAGGCAAGGCATAACCTCCTGTTGGGTCTTATTTTGGAAAGGACAAGCAGAAGAGGTGTGTAGCCTGTCTATACCGTATGGTTAGACCTTCTCCTGAGGGGTTCACAGCGATGCATCCTCCAAGAGAATGACGTCCACAGCATCCCACCTAACCTTGGCCTCTCTCCACCTGCATCACAGGTCTCTGTCTCACACCTCATCAGCTCTGTCTTGGAACATGTGATGGCTCCATCTGTGAGCTTTCTTAGGGCCCACGGTGAGACACCTTATTGAGTGATAATAAGCTGAGCACTACCATGTCCTTTTTTTGTCATCAATCCATCATTGTGCAGAAGTCTCAGGATCAAATACTCAGCAACCTATGAGACTCAGAAGAAGACCCTGAAGTGGATGAGGATTTTGACATGGCTGAGTCCAGGGTCTGACCATAGTAGGACTTATCGTCCACCAACCCCACTGTCTAGCCAGGGTCCTTCATCTATTAATTTCCGAGCTTTGATATTTTTACTTTATTATTTAATTTTAAGTGTATGAGTGTGTTGCCTGCATGTGTGTAAGTACACCTGTGTCATGCAATACCCACAGAAGTCAGAAGAGGGCATCAGATTTCCTGGAACTGGAGTTGAAGACAGCTGTTAACTGTCAGGTGGAATCAAACCCAGGTCCTCTGCAAAAGCAGCCAGTGATTTTAACTGCTGAGACATCTCTCCAGACCCCATTTATTTTCTAGTTTTGAATACATCAAAAGTGGAAGAACAGAAGGATACCAGGATGACTCTTTATCCTCTTTTAGTTTAGAACCACTGAGGGGAGACCTAGACTCAGTGAAACATTAGACAATCACCTGTACTTTATACTTTCCTAGTCTGATGATAATGGAGCCCCTAATCCTAGGGCCAAACTTCCCAATGTCCCTACATCTACACAAAGATGCCCCTCTTTGTACCCCATGCTCAGGTCTGTAAATATATCCAACATTGCTACAGCTGTTACCTGTTCAAGTACCTGTCCCTTCTCAGATGCTGGGCCCTTTTAGAAAGCCCAAGGCAAAGACTGTTTCTAACTTCTGTGAGCTCAGAGCTGTCACAGTCCACTCAAGGAAATATTCAGCTAACTCAGATGATAAACCACTCCCCAACTCCTAAAAGAACCATGAGCATACAGGTGATGCACGTTAGATGCTGCACTTTATTAGCAGGATCTAACCATGGATATCTGTCTTGAAAAATTCTGAGACAGGGTTCCATGTCTAAAGGAGCTGCATCCGAGTCATCTGAACTATTGAGATGTGTTTCCATATAACGTGGTGCAGAACTACTCACATATGTCACTGGAAAGGATGCTGTGTGTTTGAACAGCACCCAGTTCATGTTGTCAAAATCTTTTCTTTCATTTCGCTGTACTTTTCTGACAATAGTGCTCTCCTATACGAGGTACAAGCCTGGTCACAGCTCTGCATCTCTGTACAGGTTAACCTGGTTCTCATCAACACACTGCATCTCAGGTTCAGAGAGAAGAACCTGGGCTCCATCCAGGTTCTAGTGATGGGGGTCATTCTGTGGCCTCCGCCTGATCATCCTCTCACTCCTTCTCTGCGACCAATTTCTTGTCTTTACAGACCTCCCCGTGAGTCTCTTCCTCTATCAAACCGCCCAGCTCTTGGCCCTTTGCTCCATCTGGTATCACCAGACTTTGCCTTTTCTCTCACCATTTCTGTCTCCAGAGATGACTGTCATCCCCTCCAGGGCAAATACCTCCATCCCTGGGGGTGTCTCCAAGGCCCAGCACAGAGTAGAATACTGCTGGATAAACAACGGTGCCGTGCACCGTAACTACGTTTATCCTAGAGAACTATTCACCTAAGCTTACTCCGTGCCTAGCAGGTTTCTAACCATCTTCCTCAGAGAATCCATTTGATTTCTACCACAAACCTATGAGATAAATACCACCTACTGTCCCACTTTATATATGAAGAAAAAGCTTGGAAGCCACCTGTTTAATAACTTCTTACTTTTTAGAAGTTGTGGGAGAAAGGTGGGAATCTGAGCACTCAGTTCTGATCCCCGCCACTCTAGACTCGGGAACCTTGGTCCATGTGTACATTAAAGACAATTGGAACATAAAGACAAATTAAATGAGCTTCTATGATAAGACAACCCCACCACTGAGTGTCAAATTATCACTGACTCCTGCTTTGACAATCCTTTTATTCTATATTTCATATTTTGTTGCCAAAACATTTCTCTCGTTATTTCCATTCATAAATGCATGCTGTTGATAGGAAATACTTGTGGGTGATTGTCTCCAAACATAGCTACCAGTGTCCTCCCAACAAGAAACTTGAAGATGGTGCTTAACAGAAAGGGATGGGATGTGTTTCCTCTCCTGGTGAAGACAGACAACCTTGTTCTAGCTTTGACCAAGATGTAGGAGAGATAGCCCTACACCAGTTCTATACAGAGGCAGGAACTAATGGAATCTTTTGCATGTTATCGCCTGGCTGGTGGAACCACCATGTAAGTAGTCTGACTCTCCATCTGGAGGCAGCATCTCAGCCATCCCTTAACCAGTGAGCTGAGGGGTCCGGCCCGAAAATGAAGCTCTTAGTCCTCACCTCAGTCGATGGCAGAAATACATCACTGATCTTGGGACAGCTCGGCCCACTTGACACACCAAACACAACAGGCCACTGTTTACAGAACCACTTCTAGGGTGCTTTTTGTAACGTGACCATATGTAGTCGAGTGTGGTATAATTGGGAAATTCACCTTGAGGAAGAAATCATGAACGTGATAAGCTCTCACTATGGAGCAATCCGACTGTGACTTTAAGTCACTGCATCCCTTTGTTAGCATTCTGTTCTAAACAGTATTTGAGCGCAAAACTCAAAGACACACCAACTGTACCACAGTTATTACTCAGCCAAACTAGACCAAAAATTGAATAGCTTTAACCGAAAATTGCATGTTTATTTCCTTGGCCTTTGCAGTGCGCTTAGTCAAGTCCTTCTCTCTGGGCTCCAGAAGCTTCTGGCTGCCCAGCAGCCTCGATCCCTCACAGCTGGGTTTTCTTGACAGCCTTCTTCCTCACACTGGGTGCTGAAATTCAGACCATCTAAGGTGCCTGGAAAGTGCTAGCTTGCTCAGTCCCCTGCACCCAGCCACCACCAGGTGCTCCTTAGCAACAGGCTTCAACTTGCCTATCTGCTGGAGGCTGTTTTCCATCTATTTTATCCTGGACTTAACTTCAACCAACCCTGTGCAGCCAGATTTCCCCCAACTACCAGCCACTCGGAGTGTTCTTCCTTCAGTCAAGTTCCCTTCCCAACAATATTCACACACAGCCACTTCTCACAGAGGGTCTGTCTTTCCAGAACATTCTCAGTTCAACTAGCCATCTATTTTATCCTGGACTTAACTTCAACCAACCCTGTGTAGCCAGATTTCCCCCAACTACCAGCCACTCGGTGTTCTTCCTTCAGTCAAGTTCCCTTCCCAACAATATTCACACGCAGCCACTTCTCACAGAGGGTCTGTCTTTCCAGAACATTCTCAGTTCAACTACTGACAGTGATGTACGGGGTGCCTCCCTGGGCCTTGTGTCATGCCGGACCATGACACACAGCGACATATGATGCATGACCACCAGGGCAAGCACCCCACTGCCCTGTTCTACTCACCTGACTGCCCAACAATGGAAGCGCTCAGTCTGTGGGGGATCCGCGAGGACACCTTCAAGGTCACTCGGATCTGGTAATACCTAAGAAAACAAAAGGAAGCTGAAAATGTGACATCTTAGTGCTGGCTTCTAAAAATATCTGCACTGAGTCTGGAAAGCTACAGGAAAAATAATGGAGAGTTCTGGGTGGCATGCAGTCATCTGGCAGCAGAGAGAAATATATTTTATCAGAGGAGTTGAAGTCTGGGGCCCAGTGGGAGGCAGAATGCTGAATTCACTTACGATCACATGAGACTGAGGAAGGTGGGAGGTGATGGTCAGACTAAGCAAGGTCGGAGGTGACTACATGGAAAGTAGACAGGTCATGTGAAAGTTACATGAAGACAGGTGGTTTATTTTAGTCTGGAAAAGTCCTTTATTCCAGAAAAATCGGTAGCATAGAGCACAGCTGAAAGTTCATGTATAAACTGGCTTGTTCTCATTTGAAATGCACATACACGTGTTCACGTACGTACAACACAAATGCACACCACTTCCTCAGTGCAGGCAGTGGCTGAGCTGTTACGTCGGGTGGACCGTCAGATCCCTTTCCGGGTGCATCTGTCTCTCCTTGCTTCTGTCCCATTGCTTCCACATCTCAGAACTCCCCTGCAGGCTCCTCTGCTCCAGGAACCTCTCAAGTGCCGCCTTTGGCCACAAGCTGCATCCTTTGAAGTTCAGTGCTTTGCGATGAATGATCTTTCCACTAGTACGTTCTTGAGAACATTAGTGCGTTACAACTATTCACTCTTTCCACACATGTCAAAGGCATTTTGAGGTGGAATGTGAATTAAACGAAGAGAAACAGAAGGAAAACAGACCGTGAACAAATCAAGATCCTGTGGCTCACTGTGCTTCTAACTGGAGAGCCCTGTGTTACTAAGTGGTGCTGTGGATACTCTCAAGACAGCTTGTTTCTGGTGGAGGCCTTGGGTCCGTTTTAATTTGTATGCGATGAACAGAGGAGATTCAGAACACAGAACACCCGCCCTGGGGGGCCGGAGTCTGGATGACAGTCTGGAGCTGTCCAATCCTGAGTCTGGCAGGTACCTTTGTAAACTTCCTTCTCACACTTCTGAGCTATCAAACGTTGAGTCTACCATGTAACTTTTCTGAGCTTGTTTTTGTATCTGTAAATTGAGTATTAAAATAACAAAAGTTCCTAAAATGAGGGGGAAGACAAAAACAAAAACAGGGTGCTCCCTGCCATGACCTCTGTAGAGGAGCAGGCAAGCTTTTCCCTTGTTCGCACCTGGTGCAAGGAAAATCCTGAGAGCATGCAAAGGCAAGAAGAGGCAACATAGACGGAGGGCAGGCTAGGAGCCTCAGGCAAAGGAAGGCCAGGTGCTGACTTGTGAAGTTCACTTTGCCTTTCTTTATCCTAGACTGAGAGATGGACAGTCTCTTAGTCAACAAACCAGAAACACTCATGGACACACACATACACACACACACACACACACACACACACATACCACATTCAAGCCCCAAACAAGAAGCCTGCGTCCTCTACTCAAAGGATCCAAAAAGAAGAGAACTTGGCAAGACAGAAAACTTTCAGCTAATAGCTATAATCACCTCCATACCAACAACACAGACAGTCAATGTCCCTCTACCCTCAGCTGCTGAGGCTCAGTGCCAAGAAGTTTAGATGCTACAATTCCTAGCTGCTACAAAGCTCCACCTTGGCCCCCAGCTGAGAGTGATCTCCATCTTCATAGAGAGCCAGATTTTCAAACACAGCAAACCACAGTGACATTACCTCTTCTGGCTTAAGTGGAGACCACATAGGAAGCCTAGAACTCCACCGTCTCCGCTGCCACTAGTAAGAGCATAATACCCCAGGCAACTTTTACCAGCTGTGCAGTACAGGGAAGAGAGTGTTTTCAACACGTTTTCTTGAAACCATTGAACATCTACAGGCAAAACAATAATTACAAACAAACAAACCTCAAATTTAACCTCCCACTTTTTATAACTATCTCCAAACCGATTTTGTACTTAAATGAAAATATAAGCCTGCAATTCTTTTAGAAAAAATAGAGACGCTTCTACATATATATTCTAAATACAGAGCTAAGGAGATTTCTTAGACTTCAAATAAAAAACATGACATATACAAGAAAACACTGATGAGTCTGATTTCATTAAAATTAAATTTTTGTTCTGTGAAAGGTACAGCTTGGGGCAATTCATGCTGCGTTGTAGGAAAATATATGCGAATCACATGTAGATTAAATTCAGTATTTGTGTAGTTGGCATGTGTGGACTCACCTATTAAAATGTAATCACGTGTGAAACCGGAAGTTCCTTTATGCTTATTCCTGGACAGGAATTTGGCTCTAATCAGTAGAACCATCTCACATTCACACTGCGATAGTGCCTTCTGTCTGCAAACCCTGCCAACACAGCCTCCTGGGCAGGTTCCTCAGAGACATTTACTTGGGTATTGTTATGCTCTTGGTTGATTATTTTCTAGGAAACATGCCCACCCCAGGGTACGGAGGAGCACCTGAACAGCACTCCAAATCATGCGGACTGTGACCTTCCTAAGAGAAAGTGTGCGGGAGTTTTTGAGCAACAGTCAGGAAAGAGTAAGGCAGCTGCGGGCTTATTCAACAATGTTAATGCATTTATGGGAAGTAAGGTAACCTTAAACAGAAATACACGTGAAATAAGGTTAGAAGGATAGGTGTCGTGTGTGTGTGTGTGTGTGTGTGTGTGTAAAAGTCAAAACGAAGCCTAATATTCTGTCCACCAACTAACTAAAAGCAAATGAAAAACAAAACAAAAATAAAAAAAAACTAACAAATATCAACAAAAATATACGTAAAGGAGGCAAACAGACATTTTGCCAAAGAAGAAAGAGAAACAACTTTGTGAAAACATAGGTATTATCTCTAGTGGTCAGGGAAATGAAGGTCAGAACCATGGTGAGATGCATCTCACACATCAGGGTGGTTATCCCAGAAAAGGCAAGAGGAAACAGCCATAGGCGGGGTTGCCAAAGGGAACTTTTATACATATTTGTGGGATTTAAATTGCTACAACCATTATGTAAAACGTGGAGGATCCTCAAAAGAGTGAAACTATTGGGGGCTAGAGAGATGGCTCAGTGGTTAAGAGCAGTGGTTGTGCTTGCAGAAGACCTGGGTTTGAATCCCAGCACCCACATGGCAGCTACCAACCATCTGTAATTCCAGTTCTAGGGGATCCAACACCCTCTTCTGACCTTTGTGGGCATTGCACAACATGGGTGCACTTATACATATGTAGGTATAACACTCATATACATAAAATAAAAATAAATTATTTAAAATTAAGACTAAAACTACAACTTTTAAATTGAGCAACAATGTTGATGAGTGCATTCTCCCCCCTCAAAAAATGAACAAACAGATTTATATATGTGTATATGTGCATGTAAAACACAAATTAATAATTAAATACTGTGACTATCACTTAACAATAAACTAGAAAAGATAGTTGATGCATTAAATCACATACTACTTATATGAATATTTATATACTTATATATAGGAAAATATTCAAATTTGAAAACAATGTCATTTGTATTACACAGATGACTCTGGAGAACATTATGCTGAGCGAAATAAGCCAGAAAGAGAAATTAATCCTTCATGATTTTGCTTGTGGGTCAAACATGGGAAAATACTCAAATACATAGAAATAGAGGCCTGAACATGAGGGACGAGGAAGGAAGAAAACGGGATGTGCACCGAAGGACTCAGTTTGCAGCTGTGCTTGCTCCGTCTAAGAGCTGGTCTACAGCAGGAAGCCTAGAGTCAGCTTCATGTGGCAAATCTGCGAGAGGAGATGTTCAGGAGATCACCACAGAAATAAAACACTAAAGGTAAACAAAGCACAGTAGAGCCTGCGTCGCTTTGATACTGGGAAGAATCATTTCACAGACGCTTAGGGAAGCATGAGTTTGATGCAGTCAATGCCATAAAAGGAAAAAGGGAAGATTGTTGACCTTATTAGAGAAAATTCAAATTCACACCACAATGCGATACTACATGTACCTACTATTGGCTTCTGTGCAGACAAACGGCAACACTCCCATACTGTAGTTGGAAATGTTAAGATGGTGCACACTCTATAAAGTATTGGCAATTTCTCCCAAAACATAAACATACTGTCACACAAATCAACAACTGTACTTTGGGCATTTATATATGAGATATGAAAATTTACATATGCAAAAAATCTTCAAGTTATAAGCACACTTTATCCAGAATAGCCTAGAATTGAATTGACCTAGCTATTTTTCAGCAAATGACAGTCAAACAAATAGCAGAACACTGCTCAGTAATGAGAGTGAGCAACTGACTCACACACAGCTTGGGTGTGCTGGGAACATGTGCTATAATCCTTGGGTGTGCTCACACATGACTATAATCCCAGCATTCTGGAGGCAGAGGGGAGGCAGGTCAATCCAGTCTCAAAAATCAAAACAAAGACAAAAACAACCTGAATGAATCTCCAGACAATTAGCCTGACTGACCCAAAGATGCCCATTCTAAGAGCTGCACTATTGTATTTACAAACCATTGCTGAACTAACTAAACAGCAATGGTACAGGTGAGGCATTGTGGGAGAGGGGAGTGAGGGGCTGGGGAAGGAAGTAGGAGTGTGGGTGGGCGGGCATGGCTCTGTAAGATAAAAACAAGGGGTTCTGGTGATCCTGTGGACATCCTGTGTCTTGACTGGCCATGTCAATATCCTTGTTGTGATACTGACTACACTCCCATAAGACTACTGTTGGGAGCAGTGAGGAGTTACAGAGCAGACGGTCATATTATTTCTTAAAACTGTGAATGCCTAACTATCCCTAATAGTTTTAAAAATAAAAAAATAACACAGCACCTGTTCTGAGCTAGAGAAATTGATCTGCGTTTTAGCTTCTGACACACAAACATAGGGACTAGAGTTAAGATCCCCAGAACATACATATATGCCCATGGGCATGGCAGCTTGTAATTCCAGCCTCAGAAAGCTAAAACAAGAGATCCCCAAAG